CTTCTTCCCTTCATCCAAATTAGGCCTTAACATGCTTGAATTGTATGAATTATGCTCTCTTGCTCTATTGGCCTACAAAACACACAAAGGGAGGGAAATAACTTAGAATTATAGGAACTAAGCAAAAGAAGTAAGTAAATTGGGCATGTATATGTATGAAATTATGAGCTTAACACACCCCCACACTTAGATTTTGCTAGTCCTCGAGCAAAACAAAAGAGAAACAAAGATAAAAATAAAACAAGAATTTAACTAGACCACTTTCGTAGGTAACTCGATTGCATTGGGCGTATGCAACAAGCCTTTAAACCTCTAGGCATCCCTAGTATGAGGAGTTGTGTCTCCTGAGGGTTTAACAGATACGATGCCCACAAACGTTTTTCTAACTCTACAAAACAAAATGGTTAGAAAAACAACTTTGAAATCAACTAATGAAGATGAAAGAAAGTTTTAGTCATACCTTCAACACCATAGAGTTGCCAAGATAGGTCATCAATTAGTGTGTACAAGTGGAAGCTATAGCTCAAAGGCACACGGTTTCAAAGCAAGCACACTCAAACCTTGAATAGAGAACATGCTTCGACTCTAATTCTCACAGATAACACTTAATCACTCAGAACCTATGTTTTAATTCTCTGAAGAAAGCATAAGTGAGTGTATGAAATAGAAGCACAAATTTGGTTAGATCTCATGAAAGGAATTAAATACTAAGAATAGAGATACACACATACTTACCAGCACCCATGAATACATCCTGAAAGATCAGCTAGGTCTTTCACAATGTTGTAATGAAAGGCTACGGTTTAGGGGAAATGGAAGAATTGGAAGGAAAAACAAATAACTTAAGAACATACCAAGGTTGCATGCTTCATTAATCTGCAAGGCATCATTGATTTAGATTGGCATGGCAGCAAACTTCATGGTATCACCTGGCATGGACTTTATTTTTCACACTTAGATCACATCGAAACACTTTCATCTTCGTTGATTTGATATGTATCTTCATTAACTTCATTGCCCAGATTCACACCAAATTTCATTTAGGTACACGGCAGCAACTTCCTTGCATCAAACTTTATCTTGGCACACCTTGGTATATTTCTAAGTTATAGGGTATGGCTACAAGAGGTTAAGTATCTCAGATTGAGATACAAAGGTAGGGAAAATGATGAGGGTGATAAAAGAAAAGGCTTTGAGTGTTTGGCTTCAAGAGGGCTAATGGAACACACATATGGGTAGGGTGAAAAGAAAGCATATAGAATGGTTATACACACATAGCCTAGCATCACTTCAATGAGTTCATTCATGAATGAGAGCAAGCATATGATATCTGCAAAAGAGAATCATCCTTAGTATTCGATCAAAATGAAATGATGAGATCAATTAGAGTGAATTGAAGAAAATAAGTATGGATGAGAAATAGAACACTTTAAACCCTCTCAAGAAAGCAATTAGGCTCGATATAACTCACTAGGGTAGTCTCCACTATTTTCCTTCAAGAATTTGAGCATGGTACTTTAGCCACCAGAATTCTAAGAGCCAAAGCTTTGTGAAGTGCAAAATTCTGATATGAAAACCTCAATGGCAGCTCCATAGCATCGATTGTATGACATTTAGAAAAAAAAAATTAGTGACAAATGAACGAAAATGGAAACACAAATGAATGAAATTTGAAAACCTTCCCCCCAGACCTGAATGAAATTTGAAGATTTCGATCGGCACGTGGCGGCCTACGTTGTCGTCAATTGCCGATGCCAGGCGTGACAGGGCATCGGCGTGGTTGTTCTCGGATCTGGGGATCTGTTGAACCTAATACGCGGCAAAGTGGTGGAGCAATCGGCGGGCGTGTGTCAAGTAGGCAGCCATCGAAGTATCCTTGGCTTCGAATTCAGTGAGTACCTGGTTAACGACAAGTTGTGAGTCACTGCATATCTTTAGTTGTTTAGCCCCCATCTCTTTTGCGAGCCGAAGGCCTGCCAAAAGAGCTTCGTATTCTGCTTCGTTGTTAGAAGCCTGGAATTGGAAACGGATGGCATATTCGATGGTCGTTTGGTCAGGGGCTTTTAGTACTAAGCCAGCCCCGCTGCCCTGTAGGTTGGACGAGCCGTCTACATAGAGAGTCCACAGGGGAATTGATGGATTAAATGTTCCTTCGGTCGGATGGGCGACCGGTGCTGCCGAAGCTGGTTCGAGGGCGATATCTTCCCGCTTGGGATGTAGTCATCTCGGAGATGAAATCAGCGACGGCTTGTCCCTTTTCGGCAGGTCGAGGATGATAGTGGATGTCGAATTCGCTGAGTTCAATGGCCCATTTTACTAGCCGACCTGACGTCTTCGGTCGCTGTAGTATTTGGCGCAGAGGCTGATTGGTGAGAATGGTAATGTTGTGAGCCTGGAAATATGGCCGAAGCTTTCATTGCTGAGAGGACG